AAAGGGAATCTGAAACAATTTCATAGTAAATTATTATACATAGTTAACAAGGTATAATGTTATTCGGGCACCTAAAATTTTGCTTTCATTGAGTTCCTCCTCATCCTCGTCCGAGCTGGAAGCATACTTCTCAACTATTTTCTTGGCGGCGGCTATATTCCTAGCGTGCTCTTCTTCAAAACGTTTCACTCCATTGGATTTTTGTTGGGCCGGCACAGAATTGTTCTTCATTTTTTTGGTTTTAGCAGAAAAGCTAGACATTCTTGAAATTTTCACTACTTGACGTGTAAATGAAAAACGAATTGGTCAAACTGCTGATTAGCGGTGTGACCAGATGATCCCAAAAACCGTGGCTAAATTGGTTTTGAAAAAAGGTTACAATTGCGTTGCAGCATCGGTGGTGAGCGGTTGACTCTTGTGGATAGCGGATAGCAGCGGATTTTTATACAAGTGCAGTGGTGACGGTAGTTTTGCTTATTTAATACTTTTGTGTTTAAATTTTTGGTTCAAGTTTATACTGTTACGATTATCCTCGAAACCTTGAGGGATTACCCCAAGAATGATAGAATACGCTGCACCGTGAAATAAAAGTGAATAAATGATTTGGTTTGCATAAAATAATAACCGGAAACGTTTTAGTAGTGCTTTAAAAGTGGAAACTGGTGATTTAGTGCATTTTTGACGTGGTAATTGCTCATAGAAAACAACGAAATTTAACAAAAGTTTTTTGTTCATAACTTTTAAATGGTTAATAATAGGTGCGTTCGTTTAAAATCTCCAACAGACCACCCAACCAACTGCCAAATTCCGGCGAAATGTCATCTGTTCGCTCACAAGAGAGAAATATCCAAAATAGTACGCGAACAGAAAATTTGCAGAAACTTGCAAGTTAGACGAACAGCTGATATAATTTTTTTTACATTCAAAAGTGTAAAATTTAAAACGTTCGAAAACTCATTACAAAGTGGTATCCTGGCACAGTTTATTGATTAAACAAATAACTACTTACTTCTTACAGGTTTAATTAGTCGCATTTTGTAATTTTTAACTTCCAAACCATCAAATTCAATTTTGTGATTTGCGTAAATGCCAACCAGCTGTTTTTGATCAGCTGTTTTCCTGTTGGCAAATTGCTGTTGGCAAAAATTTTTCCAACAGAAACCAGCAGCTTCCCCTCAAAATGAAATGTCACTTTGCTCTCTCAATTTCCCCTACTTTGCAAGTTTTTTGCGTACGCGAACGCAAAAACTTGTAAGTTTTGGTTAAACATGAACAATTAACAGCTACGCGAACGAACCTAATATTACCTCCCCCCTCCGGATTGTTATTAGGGGGGCCGAAACGCGTCGTTTGGTACCCCTCCCGACTTTTCCGGCCCTTTTTTAGGGGTTGTTACCCCCCCCTAGAGAATTACCAAAAAAGGAGGTAGTTTCATTACTACTATTTCTTGATTATAAGCAGGCATGGGCAGAGAGTTAGCAGGTGCTAAAAGAGCGTAAGCGTCGCGTGTACGTATACAAGCGAGAGCGCAGCGATGAGAACACGACAGCATGCAAAATGAATCAGGTACACTAACACATTCTCACTTTTAGCTCACGCTTGTTTGTGGTAGTGCCCACCTCTGATTATAAGGCAGATTTTTGACATTTCTCCAGATGTTAATATCAGGCATAGCTTTGCCACACTGGAATTTTTTGAGAAGGGTATCCATGAGCAGAGATTAGAAAATAAAATAATATCCAGCTTTCATATTTATTTATCAAATAGCTTTAGATGTTAATAAATAACGATTTTTTATGCTAATTCAGTTTACAAAATATACAAATTTACATAATATGTAATTAAATATTATAGTTTCACAAATATATTTATAATAATAATTGAAAACGCGTTTTTGGATTTTATTTTTTAATGTTGAGTTGAACCGGTCTTGAACTCAGGCCCTTCGGAATGGTAGCGCGCACTGCGAACCGCTACACCACTACACTCAGTTGACCTGAGCAACGCACACAAGACTGGGCAGTCGGCCAAAAACAGGTTTCAGTTTTGTATGCATGGACTGCGGTTGATTGGGTTAGTGCATGTGGCATATGTAAGCAAAACGAAACACAAAACATGTTGTCTATATGCGCACGTCAGTCCAACGTCAATCCGCAATATTCGTGGACTGAAATGGACGAGGTAAAGTCAGTGTGCGGAGAACCATAAGCAATGCTTACATTTAAAACTTCGGCACAGCGCTTTGGCTTAGGTTTGCGATCGTCCTTGAAATCGAAATGTCCTCCCTTGAAAAATGTGTTGAGCAGTCGTACGGCACCTTAGGCAATACATACATCTTCGCTCAATCCGCATGTTTTCAGCCATTTCTCGCGGATGTGGGGTATTACAGGAAACTGAAAAACTTTACATCCGTCCCCTTGCAAACATGCTTCATGCTTTTGCACTCAGGATATAAACAGCTCACTTTTTGATTAACTTCTTATGCAGCTAAGAATAAAAGATCGCCCATATTAAATCCATGGAAACCAAGAGTGAAAAGCGAACCGGTTCTGGAAAAACGAAACTCATGATAAGGCTGATAAGGATTCATGAAACCTCGCAAAGATGTTGGAAATTTCGCATTTGTTGCAAAATTTTCCACCTTGCGACACAGATGATTAATTTTGTACGGAAACGCTCCTTATATAAATTCTCCTTGGATGAAGGTGGTATATTTTTTTGTACTTTTTGTTGTTGCTATACCGGTACCCCCTTCTATATCATGGAGACAGTGTTGCCACAAATACGCTTTTCCTACCAAAACTGGAAGGTTTCTTTCGATTTGATAGGTTGGTAGGCTTGATTGGATTTTGGTAGGTTCCGTGACAATGAGTAACAGTTATTTTCGAAAAATTGAAAATATGTATCACCAAACATTTTACATGTAAACATACCTGATTCGTAAGTACAAACGTGTATCCTTATTATAGCCAATAACAACTTGAACACACATTTAAGAGAGTCACAACACGGAATTTTTCATTTTTGAGATTATGCGCTAAACATGTGCACTAAGCGTTCATTTGCCTTTCAGCAAAAGTTGGAGCAACCTAAGGCAAAGTCGCCCTTACCCATATGATTATCATGTGCTAAGAAATAGTTTTCTTAAAAGCGTATTATTTTGAGTTGTGATTCTTTTGAAGATGGTGTGCGATATGTGTACTTTATGAAATATTTGGACTAAGATTCCAGAAAAGTCTGCCAATGGGCTTGTCCCTAGCCATATTCCAGAAGGAGATCTTTGTAATCGAAGTCTCTGTGTTCGTGAATGTCTTCGTAGAAGGACAAATTGGGTCAGAATAAATATTGTTTCCGATAGTCCGGCAGTGTTAAACGCCTTTTAAAACGCTCTTTTAAAATGACATCAGGGCTTGTGGACTCTTGAACAACCTGAGAGCCCACAATAGCGTAACGCTGTGCTAAATTCCGGGACATGATGAGTTTGAAGGCAACGAAAGGGCTGACTGTCTCGCAAAGCGTGGAGCCATTCTGCAGCACATCTAATGGATACAACTCGGGGCTACCTAGAAACTGGGAGTAATCTTAGATTGCTGCCCACTGGCGGAAGTCAAAGATAATAAGAGAAGCTACACTGCAAATTAAGGTACCATTTGAATCAAATGGGGCTTTCTGTAAAAACGAACTGTAGGTTTTGTGCCTGCCAACGAAACATGAATCGTAGACTGATGCACCTTGGAGAGCGATTTTCTTTTTCATAAAAAATTTGGAATATGGTGTCGTCAACCCGCTTGCGAATTTAACGCAAGTAACGCAATCGCGCGATTTTTTATTAAAAATTTTCATTATTTATCGAAGTATTGATTTTTATGGAAAAAGCGCCGCAGGCGAAAATTTTTAATAAAAAATCGCGCGTTTTTTTATTAAACATTTTCATTATTTATCGAAGTATTGATTTTTATGGAAAAAGCGCCGCAGGCGAAAATTTTTAATAAAAAATCGCGCGATTTTTTATTAAAAATTTTCATTATTTATCGAAGTATTGATATTTATGGAAAAAGCGACGCAGGCGAAAATTTTTAATAAATTATTATTAAATTATTATTATTAAAATATTAAAAATTTTCATTATTTATATATATATTAAACGAAAGAAGATACCGAAAAGCATTGAACAGTGCACACATCTCATAAGGAAAAGTGAATTATTACGAAATACTAATCCAGTGGCAGCACAATAGCTATTTTGGAATCTCGCGTTTCAGCTGGCAAAGATTGTCAACTTCTTTTTAATAACAAAATAATCTATCTTAGGTTGATAAAACTATGTGTTTCTTTAATAAATAAGTTAAATTATATATTTTAATAGTGTTTAAAAAGTGTGAACAGGTGATTTAGTGAATCTTTGTCGGTGTAATTGCCCATCGAAAACAACGAAATTTAACAAAAGTTTTTTGTTCATAACTTTTAAATGGTTAATAATATTATCTCCCCCCCTCCGGATTGTTAATAGGGGGGCCGAAACGCGTCGTTTGATACCCCTCCCGACTTTTCCGCACCTTTTTTAGGGGTTGTTACCGCACCCTAGAGAATTACCCCTTTTTTGTATTATGCTCAAGATAAGGCAGAATATGTATATAAATTACTTATAAAGTATCTGTATATATTGCTAAGATTTTTTGATTTTTATCTACGATATATTTGGACTTTTGCTACGCAATCGATTTCGTGAGGTACTAAACCTGTCGAGTACATCTATGTGTTGGCAGACGGTGGCAGTGTATACTCCGCTTAATGTGGGGATGTTCATTGATTGTGAACTATCATGATTGTAAATGAATTTGCAATTAAGGAAGAAGAAGTTTGAGTTTTGCAAATTTCTATTTTGAAGTGAGTCATTCTTTGTCATTTGGTTATACGCGCAAAGGGTGGAAAAGTAGATTACTGGCAGGACTGGATCATTTTGCCTTTGGAGCTGAAAACAAAATTTACAATGCCCAATAACGATAAAGAGCCAGAAAATATACAGAAAAACAATGAGCGTAATGCAAATGCGATAGAAAGCACACAAGCCGTAGCCGCTGCAACTGAGGCATTAATTGCTGCAGCTGTAGCCGGCAGCAAATCAGCCCCGAACACCAACAGCAAGGATTCTGGATCGGAAGATGGTGAAAGAAAACGTGCTGATATGAAATCAACTTCGGCAGGTTGGCCCATATTAAATTTATTTTGCTGGCTAAAGATTCGAAAACGAATCGTATACATACACGTTAGCCATACTATACACGTTAGCCATGTCATTTGCAATAATACTTATATTCCATTATTATTGCTGTTCTGGAAACACAAAAGTTGAAAATCCTTATTTTTCATTTCATTTCTGAAATTTTATTTTAGGATTACTCAGAAATCAGGGATTGCTGCAGGTGCTCTCGGAAGTTGCAGCAGCTGGTAGGCAATCAAAGCAATTTGCATTCTGGTCCACGCAACCAGTTCCCAAACTGAATGAAGACATCACCACAAATGAGTGTATCGAACCTGATAAAGATGTTTCGGAGATTCGGCCTGATCCATACACCTTGCCAGAGGGGTTCAAGTGGGATACTCTTGATTTGAATAGTGCCGCCGATTTAACCGAACTGTATACTTTATTAAATGAGAACTATGTGGAGGATGACGACGCTATGTTTCGCTTTGATTATCAACCCGAATTTCTCAAGTGGTCTTTGCAGCCACCTGGATGGAGGCGAGATTGGCATGTGGGCGTCCGCGTTGTGAAGTCGGGCCGCCTTGTTGGATTTATATCTGCAATTCCCAGCAAATTGCGTTGTTACGACAAAGTGATCAAAACGGTTGAGATAAACTTTTTATGTGTTCATAAAAAGTTGCGTAGCAAACGAGTTGCACCTGTACTCATACGTGAGATTACTCGTCGGGTAAATTTGACGGGAATTTTCCAAGCAGCGTACACAGCGGGAGTGGTTTTACCCAAACCCGTGGCAACATGCCGCTACTGGCATCGATCACTAAATCCCAAGAAACTTGTTGAGGTAAAAACAAATCAATGTTTTAATATTATTGGTTATTTGAAAATTTGTAAAACTGATTTTAGTCATGTATGTACCTACTCAGCTGAGCTATTATCAGTTGGATAACAAAAGCACTTATGTATTATTTAATTAACTTTATTTATATCGCTTTTTGACTAAAATAATACCACAATGATGCATAATATACATATATTGTGTCAAAATTTCGTGCTAGATTAAAAACTTCGTCTTCTGAAAACCCCTTTTTTAATTGTGGAAGTATGGACGTTATATGTATTTTTATATAAAAAAAAAATACTTATTCTAAACATCGCAATAGTTTTTTATAAACCAAACAGGTTATTGAAATTTTTTATTTTATTTATTTTTAACAAATCTGTTAATGGAAGTTCATAATTTTTTTCAATAATTTTTTTTATTTTTTTCAGGTAAAATTTTCGCACCTAGCGCGTAATATGACCATGCAACGAACCATCAAACTGTACAAATTACCCGATCAACCGAAAACCAAAGGATATCGTCGTATCCTACCCAAGGATATGGACAAGGCGCAGAAGCTACTTGAAGAGTACCTCAAGAAGTTCTCATTGAGCCCTGTTTTTTCCAAAGAAGAATTCCGTCACTGGTTTACGCCGAAAGAAGGTATCATCGACTGTTTCATTGTTGAAGATGAACATGGGTACATCACGGACATGACCAGTTATTACTGCTTGCCATCTTCTGTGATGCATCACCCTGTACATAAGACTGTACGCGCTGCCTATTCTTTTTACAATGTGTCTACAAAGACACCATGGTTAGAATTGATGAACGATGCTCTGATCTCAGCTAAGAATATTAGCTTGGACGTTTTCAATGCACTTGATTTAATGGAGAATAAGAATTTTTTGTTTCCCCTGAAATTCGGTACTGGTGATGGCAATCTACAATATTACCTATACAATTGGCGCTGTCCAGCTATGAAGCCGGAAGATGTTGCGCTTATTTTGATGTAGTCTCTATGAGCTAAAATAAACATAAATGCTGTAAACGACATTTTAAAATTCAAAATTTAGCACGTGACACAAATAGAAAAAAATAAAGATCCCAGTACTATCACTACTTCCGATACGATAAAAGTAATACAATTCAGCACTTGGATTCTGTGGCAAACATGATGACTACAATGGATAGTATTGTTAAACTGTAGCACAATAGCACTGTCGGCGTTTTAAGCTGGATATATCTCTTCTAAATGTATGTTCGAGGGGTAGCAGCTAAGTAATATGTATATACATATGTATGTATCTACAGTGGCGGTCAAAAATATAGATGAATGATTTATAAAAATATATCAAAAAAGTTTGGCTTAAAAAATATTATAAATATTAAAAACGAAACACCATTCATTAATTTTTTACCGCCATTGTATACTATAGTTTCTATAGCACAAGCAGTCATGGGCGTAGCCAGAACGAAATTTAGGGGGCCCTCCCATAAAAAAAAAAATATTCAAAACCAATAACTTACTATTGTTTATTATAGCTTAAAATTATTATAACCAATAGAGGTATGTTGTACAAAAACACATAAACAGAAGTTCACAAAAGTTGATATAAAACTATTTGTCGATCGAAAGCCTAACCCCCAAACTAAACTTCCCACCGTCATGTACAGTTCCCCTCCCGGTACCACCGTCAAGGATTTCGTCGGGATTATAACACTGTGTGACTGCTAGAGTTATAGATCTATTCTCTTCTTATTTGGCGCTGAATCGCCAAAGCCATTTTGGCCGGGTTCAATAAAGCACGCCAGTCGTATATTTTCTGTGCCAACTGACTCCAATTGGAAATGCCGAGTGAAGCCAAGTCCTTCTCCACCTGGTCTTTCAATCTCAGTGGTCTTCCTCTGCTACCATCTGCGGGTTCCGAGTTGAATACTTTCGGAGATAGAGCGTCGGCGTCCATTCGAACAACATGGCCAAGCCATCGGAGCCGCGGTATTTTAATTCGCTGCACTATGTCCATGTCGTTGTAAAGCTCATACAGCTCATCATTCCATCGTCTGCGGTACTCGCCGTCTCTAACGCGTAAAGGCCCGTAAATCTTCCGCAAAATCTCTCTCGGATACTCCAAGAGCCGCTTCATCAGATGCTGTCATTGTCCATGCTTCTGCACCATATAACAGCACGGGCATGATGAGTTACTTATATTGACCACTCAGTCCGAAGTAGCACGTAGCAAAAGTGATTCTGCATTGGATTTCCATGCTGACATTATTATCGGTGTTAATGCTGGTTCCAAAGTAAACGAAATTCTCCACTTTCTTGAAATTATAACTGTCAACAGTGACGTGGGTGCCAAGGCGCGAATGTACGGACAGGAGATACTTCGTCTTTTCCTCGTTTACCACCAGACCCATTGGCTTTGGTTCCTTATCCAACTTGGGAAAAAGCAGGGCTGACTTCGCGGTTACGTACCGCGGTTCTACGTACCGGAATGACTCGGAGTTTACCCGACCAAGGGCTATTGTTTCGGCGATCTAACCCCGTTTAGGTCGGAGAAGTATCTTAGAAGTTGCTCGTCCATAGGGCTACATTCGCTACGTATTCTTCTACTCAGGGCTTGCATCGTGTCAAACCCAAGGCAAGAAATCTACACCTGCTGTGTATGCCAGAGACGACTACACCACAACTCCACCTCAGTCAAGTGTAATGCCTGCGATGGGTGGAGTCACCTTAGAGTCTGCTCAGGACTACGGACACATCGGCAGTGGACCACGTCGTACGTGGCCCCCTGCTGCTCACACAGAGCAGCCTCCACGGCTAACCTCAGTCCACCTGAGCAGCCTCACACAGTCACCACAGCACAACATAATAACACCACAGCCACGACAGACCACAGAACACACATAACCGCACCACTACCCACACGCTGCCGCCAAACAACTCCTGGTTTGTCCTACAATCTGCACGGTATGTCAGACCAGGATATTCCGTAATGTGACATCAGTCAAGTGCAACACCTGCCTTGGCTGGTGCCACTTTAGGGCATGCTCAGGTCTGCGTACCACGCGAGATTGGACGAGGAACTTCGAGGGCCCGTGTTGCGCTGCTCGGTCGCAGACCTCAATTGCGACGCCTCCCGCCACCACCACAGGGCGGCAATCATCACAGCAGCGCACACAGCCAACGGCGGTAAGAACACACACATCCCTTACATCCCACATCGCTACACGTCTCCCGAACCACATGCAGCTCCTTCAATTTAACTGCAACGGGCTACAGAGCAAGATTGAGGAGATAACCGTCTTCATGTGTCGGTTGCACAGCAATTCAACTTTGTGCCGGGTACAACGTGCACCGTCGAGATCGCGAGCGAGATAATGGTGGTGGCTTAGCGTTCATCACGCACCACACCGTGCAGTATCTTCTTATCGAAGCAGACATCGACCGCAGGGATACCACCCTAGAATGTCAGGGCATTGCTATCCGGTCAGGCGATGTTGAGCTCGAAATATTTAACGTTTATATACCCCCTGTCACCTGCTGCCCGGTAGGATATCACCCTGACATAGGTGCGCTCCTCAGAGGTGAAAACCGTATGGTAGTAGGTGATTTTAATGCGCACCACGATCTTTGGCACTCAAGCCCGCCAAACGATCGTAGGGCAACAGACTTGGCTCAGCAGATAGACGATTCGACATTCTGCACAATGAACGACGACGCACCCACCAGGATTATGGGTAACTGGAGTAGCTCGCCAGACATCACCATAGTCAGCGCTGGTCTGATAAACAGCATAACATGGTGACCTATGCTGACTTTAGCATCAGATCATCTACCCATAATCACCTCGATAGATAAACCAACCGACTTTGCCTCCGCTAAACACCGGACCTATATCAACTTCTCTAAAGCTGATTGGAAAGTTTACGCGGAGTTTACTGAAAACACCTTCACTGCGCTTCCCACACCAACCGACGTCCATCTCGGTGAACGTAAGTTCCGCAGGGCTGTCACTGCTGCTGCAGCTCGCTTCATACCGGCAGGACGTATAACGGACCCACGTCCAAACTTCCCTGCCGAAGCGGCTGTTCTAGCCGATGAGCGTGATAGCCTTCGTCAGGCCGATCCCGGAGACCCCCGTATCAGGGATCTCAACGCGGAAATTCGGCAACTAGTAAACGTACATAAGCGGAAGAAGTGGGAAGAGCATCTGAGGACCTGTAACTTCACCTCTGGTGTGAGTAAGCTTTGGTCAACCGTGAGGTCCCTGCCCAATCCGACGAAGCACGACGACACTATTTTAGCCGGCAGTTCATACTGCATCCTCCGGAGGACAAAGCCAAGCGTCGAGTGACCAGAAGGCTGCACAAACTGCCAACAACCTGCGCCCTCCTTGCTTTCACTTGCGGTGAAGTTCAGGTGGCCATCAGGAAGGCGAAAGCCTCCAAAGCCATGGGTCCCGACGGAATATGCATGCTGATGCTGAAAAATTTGGGACCTGCGGGGGTAGCGTACCTAACGGAGGTCCTCAATTTGTCTATGGCCATTCTCATCATCCCAGACATCTGGAAGGTGGGGAGAGTGGTCCCACTGCTCAAACCGGGGAAACCTGCCAACAAAGGAGATTCTTATCGGCCGATAACACTCCTTTCCCCGGTAGCGAAGACACTCGAGGCCCTGCTGCTCCCGTATTTCAGCATGGTTTCCGTAAAGTGCACAGCACAACAACAGCACTTAACGCCATAAACACTCAGATAACTCGTGGCCTTAACCAAAACCGTCCCTGTGAGAGAACGATTCTAGTAGCGTTGGACTGGTCAAAGGCGTTTGACACCGTCTGCCATTCCACGCTACTAGAAGATATATAGGCTTCCTCTCTCCCACAGAGGCTCAAACGGTGGTCGGCAAATTATCTGAGTGGTCGACACTCGTCGGTAATGTTTAGAGACATATCGAGTAAACTTAGAAATTTAAAACAGGGGGTTCCACAGGGCAGTGTCCTTTCCCCGCTACTGTTTAACTTTTACATCTCAAAGCTCCCTCAACCACCAGAGGGAGTCTCGATTGTCTCTTACGCCGACGATTGCTCGATAATGGCGTCTGGGAATGGAATTGATGACCTGTGTTCGAAAGTAAACGGGTATCTCTCCGAACTTTCTCGCTTCTTCACTGCAAAGTGTCTAGCCCTCTCCCCTACGAAATCCTCTGCGACCCTGTTCACAACCTGGACGAAGGAGGTCAGGCTACAGACTGTACAGAACACCGCACTCAGGACAGCGACACGATGCCTCCTGATGTCGCCCGAACATCACCTCCACAACGAGGCATAAATGCTCCCCATAAAGGAGCACAACATAATACTCTGCAAGCAGTTCCTGATCGGGAGCCACAGAAGTGGCCACCCAAACAGATAGCTGCTTGCTGAGGAGCCCTCGCCTAGGCACGTCAGGAGGCATCTATGTATATGAACTGACGGACGAAGTCCAGAGGTTCATCAAGCAACCTCTGGACCCATCAGCGTACCGACTGGCTCTGAACGGCATTCACAGGGAGTCAGTCTCGAGTTATGTAGACTCTAGACCTGTGTATGCCGTTCTAGGCATACCGCCACCGGACATAGACGAGACGGAACTTCATCTGCCTCGGGAGACACGAACGACAATAGCACAACTCCGCTCTGGCTACTGCAGCAGGTTACACTCCTACCTGAGTAGATTGAATGAGGATGTGCCAAATGAGTGTCCGGCATGCGGAGCGACCCCACATGACTCGAAACATCTCTTCGCATGCCCGGAAAACCCGACAACCCTAACGGCTTTGTCCTTGTGGATCGACCCGATAGAAGCTGCACGCTTCCCAGGGCTGCCGTTAGTGGAACTTGACGACAACGACTGAGATATCAACCGATCTGGGCGGGGTTGTTGTAGCCGCTACAACAATAACAACAACATGCCATCGGAATAAGCCAGCAATTGAACGCTCTTGTAGTAAATTTTTCCTGTGCGGTTCAGTTCTGCAGCTCTTATTATCTTCTCCAACATCAGATTAAAGAAGTCACATGAAAGGGAGATGCCCTGTATGAAACCCCGTTTGGTGGCGAACGGCTCGGAGAGGTCTTTCCCAATTCACATTTACA